AATCACTACAATAAGCTACTAAAACCAACAAATTCTGAATTACCATATAATCTATTCCCACTTAATCAATACCCTAATATAGATAAACATTCCCTCATGCCACAGAAACTACTACATCCAGCTGACTCCTAACATAACAAGGTTCAACTTTATGATATTGAAACTGGGCATGCCTAAAAGCAACAGGCAAGAAACATCTACTACTCTGCATTCTCATGAACAAGGGGAAAATTTATGTATTGCCCAGCACAGGGCCAGACCTGAGAAAAGGCCCAAGAGGCCTCCGTCTCAAGCCCAGACTTTTTAGGGGCCCATTTTTCTCTCTTTTTTTAAAAAAACCTAAATTTCACTTCCCCCTCCACAGTTACGGCACTGCTCCAAAGACGAAAGAAGGGCACTGTACCGTAGTGGAAATTGGAGGAAAACTGTGACTCACCTCCGTCCTCCAGCGAAATACACACACAGAGAGAGAGAGAGAGAGAACCGTAAGGCCATGACGCGTGGATTTGTGATTATTGAGTAAGTATTTACTGTATTTGGCTGAGTAGTTCTCCTTCTCCAACTCCAATCTGTCTAAATCTGTATATTATGTGTCAATGTGTGCATTCAGGTTGCAAACCTAATAAGTAATTACTAATTACCAATTTACCTTATCAGTTATCACTGCCCTAAGATGCTCAACTAAAATTTTGTTTGGTAGTCCATTGCTTGTAGGACATAGAATTTATAGAAACAAGTTTTTAACCAACAATAGCAAAAAACAATTGATGCAGAAATTTAGAGTTCAATTAGTCAAATTGACATGAAGAGATTTGGCAACGCTTACTATTTCATACACCTGGCTTGCATATTTATGGGCGTATTGCAGGGCCAGAATGGAGGCCATTTTGAAGCTAGACCTGTTCCAAATAAATGTGATTGGGAGATTTATACTTATGAACTAGACTTCTCAAGTTCAACAATCATAGGGAAGGTCTGTATCCAAAAGTTACTGATTAACTATTTATAGTACATTAGTCACACTATTCAATTTGATGCACGAGATAATAAGTAATCCGATGCTTTTTTCCCCCTAAAGGACACAAAATATTGATATTTTTACTCAGCCAAGGATTCAAATTCTTACCAGTATTTGATCAATCCATCCCACCCACAGGTAGCAACTTTACTCTGTTCCAACAGGTGCCATTCAAAACCAATACAAACTCCTTTGTGGCACTTTAAAGTTCTAAAGACCTTGCAACTCTTCCAATCCCAAAACCAGCACCTTCCTTCACCATCTCCAGACTATCTAGTTTAATTTATGTGATAATGATTCAATGATATCTCATATGATGTTATGTTAATTTACGTGATTGATTAGTTATTACCAATTCTTTTGAAGTTTAAGTAGAAAGTAATAAGGCAAGAAAAACGGATGCTTAATATTTTATTGATTTTTTTATATCTAAAACTAGTAATTCTATGTATGTTTTGAGTTGGGCTCTTTTTTTTTTTTGGGTTTTTTAAACTTTTTTTTTTCACCTTTCAGTAACTTTTAGCTATTGAGTGATTTGAGTCAAATACCATTGCTCCTAAGTATGCATCTGGAGCTCAAAGAAAGAAGGAGAGAGAGAATAGAGGCATTAGTTCGAAATCAGACCGGAGATACGGATAAGTATTTTAATAATAAGAAAAGAAAATAGAATGAAGGAACACAAGAAAATTTAGTGATTGAGGAACAACAGAATCGAAATGATAATGATAATGTGGATGGATGCACAGAAAGAGAACAAAGAAATTATTGCACCTACCAATGTGGATGAATCAAAGCAGAATGATGAAAATAATGTTCAACGTGAAGATTTAAATCAAGAGAATTGCTTTTCGTTGAATTTTGAGGATCCTGAAAATTTGAAGGACGTTCACATTGATCAAATGACAATAGATTTTTTAGTTGAAATGGGTCCAAAAAGAGTTGA